TCAGCAGGATCAGGTTTGCAGTCCTTATCTTTAACAGGCTGGAGCCCATTAGCAAGCAAAGATAAGACTTCTCCCAGAAGAGCAGGGCACCTTCACTGCCAGGATTAGAAAGCAGCATTCACAGGACATGCACAAGAAGTGGTACCAATGAGAAACTGTCAAAGCCTGGGAGTGAACTGACCTGGAAGTCTGGATTCCCAGGGGATGATATAAGGCCCCTCACCTTGAGTCTGGTCTGCAGGCATACACCGTCAACCCCCAGGCCTCTCATAACTGGGAACCTCGCAGAGGTGACAGTTTCCCTCCAAGCAAAAGGGCAACACAAGTCAGCTTTGGTAGGTCTAAAACAACATGCAAATAGGAGCTAAGCATGTAGAGCTTGGCTCCAAAACTTCTGAAACATCATTCAACAGAACTGAAGCCTCCTATCAGGCTTGCTTCTCGGTTTACCTTTAACAAGGCTTTTTGACTTAGAAAGCACAGAGCACACACCAAAAACCTCTGACCTAAAGAAGTGCAACCTCTTCACAACTGTTCTTGCCAGCTGCCCAAGAGAAACAATTCAAGCTGAGTTACTAGCTTCGTGAGTGTCATTTTCTTTGCCTACAATGTTTTCAGGAGTCAGAGAGACTGAGGAGAGACTAGATTAGTAATAGGAGAGCACAAGATACACTATATATACTACCGCAGGGATGACCCATCTCTCTAAAGTATATATGATACTACTGATGTATACAGGCACTGACCAGATGCATCTACACGCTACATAAGAACTGCTATGTCCAAGCTTCAGATGGCCTTGGAGATGCAAAGTCCCTTACCCACTAAGCTTTCCTCTGCCTCGTGAAAGCTGCTGGGTACCATGACTACAAGCTCCCTCCAAAAGGCCCCTCTAATGGTAAAATGAGCACCATTGCAGGGCTTCCATAACAGGGCATGTTGTCTTCACAGGGATCCCCCAGGAGGTAAAAACAAGCAAGCCAACATAGCATTTCCACCTCTGCTGTACCAGGAAGGTGAGGATTTTGCAGAGCATTAAGACGCACATACTTCGTACATAGCATGTTTTTGTTGTCCAAAGCAAGGCATTTTCCAACTCATCTGATAACTTTGGAGTTCTCTTTCCCATTATGAAACTTCTTAGTGAGAAGGAGGAGGTGGGGGGAAAGGAGGAGGAAAAAGAAAAAAAGAAAACTGCTTCTCCTGAAGCCAGACCTTCTCTATGCTACAGAAGAAACACTTCATTAGAGATCATCCCCACACAATAAAAGCTGGGGCAGGGAATGAGAGAGAACACATATCCTGGCAGTGCTTTTGGAAGAAACACCAGAACTTCTCTCCATCTGACTGACTTGTGGTTGTTGAAGATCCCATGGCATTTCTGGCAACAGCAGCAGCGCTCTGGCTACAGTCCAGCTGCAATGATCCCATGCCTGCTCCCAAGGTGACAACTACACAGTTTCACCCCACCTGTGGCATCCCTCTTCACCCCATCCTGGACAGAACATTGCCAGATGTGGATGAACCAGACGGAAAGAGGTAGCTGCTCATCAGTCCTTTTGGAAAGCTGCTGTTTGTCATGAGGCTTGGCAGCAGTCTTGGCTCCAGAGATACAAATCCCATTGTACAATATGCACCTTCCTCACTGTCAAGCCAGCCTTCAGAGCAGGCACTGCCTGAGCTGGGAATCCTGCAATGCAAAGTCATTGAAGGAACCTGGATGAAACAGGCCCTTTCCAACCTCTTCTCTTTAAACTTCTGCCGTGCCCCAGGCTTGCGCTCTTCCCCTATACTGTAAACAGATTGCTTCTCAAGTCCTGTTCTGCTCTTCGGGGATTTCAAATCCAGAATCTGCTTGACACGTGCAAGAGTCTGTTCCTTCCTCCTCACGCGCCCCCCCACCCGCTGGAATTAGACGTCGTTGTTCCATTTTGGAGACTATTATATACAGAGACTCATCAGACCGGGAAACAAAGAAGTTATTACTTGACAGAGCCCTGCAGCTGGGAATGTGGAAGGCGGGAGGAGAGGAGGGGGAGCACTGAGGGAGACAGGACGGGGGGGCTGGTAGCAGTGTTATGAAAGCGATCAACAGAAAGGACAGCTCAAAGATGGGAAACATCTTTTTTAAAAAGTCTCAAGTGAGATGAGGAAAAAAAAAGGAGAAAAGAAAGCAAGTGCAAAACGGACAGCAGAGAAGAGAGAAAGCAGTTGGTGCCAATGGTGCCACAGGTTAAACACACGGGTCTGTGGGTTTGTGTAGCCTTTGATTCAGCACTGACACGCTTTGGCAAGGGAGGCCACCGGAGCTGTCAAGTCCTTCACCAACGTGCCCATCAATTGTATTCAGCTCTCCCCGACCCGCACTGGCATTTTAATTACTGTTGGGTAAACTAATTTGTACAAATGAAGGCAACTCTGCCTAATAGAATATGCAA